AGTACCCAGGGCTCGCATTCGAAACTGTCGTGCTCACTCAAGCTATACTGCTTTTCTCTCCACTTTGTCTTATCCATTCTACTTGTGTAGTTAATGCAAAAATATTTCATTTGCATCTTAAAGTATTTAATTAATCATACACGCTACAATTTATGTTCCCAGAAAAAATACATCTCACATGTTCTCCTATGGATAAATTGCATCTTCAAGGAATGGAAATTAGTGTTTCAAAATATTAATTAAAACTTAAATTAAATTTCTTAAACTTAATTTTTATGCATTACCAGTAGAGAAACAATGTCTCTAGAATTATAAACAACATTGTAACAAATTTACTCAAAGTTGATAGGACCACATATCTTTCTTCTAATTAAGCATATTTCACAAATAAAGATGGCTGACTATTAAACAGATACAGCTCCTTCACCTATATTTTACCAGATCAAGCTAAATACAGGTCATTGTTACCTGATAAATTACTTCAGCAAAATGACTTGGGAATTCTTAAATCTCACTCTGCCTTCCAAGTACTTAGGTTTAAATGTAGCTGACACAAGTACAGGCAATGGGAAAAAGTTGAAAATCACAGGACACTGAATTATTCCCATTGAGACCTTTCTTTATGAAGTCATATGAAGAAACACCATGTAAACAGATATACATTTTTCATATACTGGGGGAAGAGGGATAAAAGAGCAATGGAGGCTTGACAGCCATACCCAAGTCCTCCTAAAGTCATTATGTTAATGTAGACATTACTAAGGTTGCTGAGACACATAAAACTTGCATATGGCATACACAAATTGCCTCTATAAGGAAGGGCAAATGTGTGGGCGATGTACACAACACAAATACAAATTAATCTGGCAATTTTTCAAAGCTAAACTTTAGGGGGAAAAACCTCAGACAAAATAAGAAAGGTGCCTAAAGTTACATTCTTAAATTCATATTAGATATCCCCATCCAATTTTCAAAAATGCTTAGCCCTCAGCAGCTCTGTATACCCAAGATCATGAAAAACCATAATACAACAATATGAGGGGAAAGGCTAAATGAGATTACCTTCTCTAAATAACAAAGCTATTTGCATTTAAGTGGCATGCAAATAGTAATTACGTTTTGCATTTGCATAATAATTAAACAATCCTTTTAAGACAAGGTGTGTCTTACAGAAGCTTCACAATTATTAACTTCTTATCTTAAGCTAACCCTTGGTTTACCTACAGAAGCTTTGTCAGTGCCGCTGTCAACTTCCTGGGGCAAAACCCTAACTTGTATTACTGTAACTTACACCTTGTAACGAGTCAGTGAACTGAACGACTATGTACACACACATAACCTGTCAGTTGATACCTTACATATGTTAGTGCTGTGAGTCATTACAGACTACATTTTTATATATTATATGAAAACAAATGGATTTCCCATCTTAGATGGATAAAGCTAACATTTTATATGAACATTCTAAACCATGTTTTTCTCACCCCTCCAACATTTTTTTATATATAAAAAAGTCAGTATTTTGACCCATATTTTTCATGCACCAGTTAACTAGAAAATTACAAAACCTGAAGAGCTCAGATAAAATTCATCAAGGGGATTAAAAAAACGCATGCCTCCTCCCTCCAGTAGCGTGGGATGCTACTGGAATGTGAATTAAAGACTCTCAAGCCTTTGAAAAATGAGGACCCCTGAATTTTTAATTGTGTTAACTAATCATTAGAGAACTGGAAATTGCTGTGTTTCTGACTGTTTGATAGGTAGCTGCTTCCATAAAGTACACTTTTAATTTTGTAAGAGCTGGCCTGTTTCCCAGCAGCACATTGATTTGTGGGACCACTACTTACAGCACCTAGAGCATAATTAAATATTAAGTCCCTCCTTGATGTATGCAAAGTCTGACTAAGAGGATTAGCAGACACACTGAGGGTGGCTTTCACGCATTTTCTGGTAATTGAACACTGCAATATCATTAAACTTATTTTTACTCAATAGAAATCCACATTCACCCTTTACAATATCTGCTGTCCCTTTTTGTACCAATGAATGGTAAAGGAAAAGAGGGATCCCCTAAAAGCATGTAAGAAATGTCAGGCAAGAAAGGATAAAACAATCTGGAAGTAAGATAATGAATACATTTTTGAAATATTTACAATTTAAAGTTCATTTAAGAAAAAAACAAACAAACAAACCCACAAACCCAAAAGAAACCTTTAAATGCATTCCTCTGCAAGCTAAAAATAGTATTTGATCCAAACACACCCCTCTTTTTTTTTTTTTTCTTTTAAACACGATCAAGGGTTTTACTACTTCACTGGATAAGAAAGGATGACGAAATTAATAAAGGTGTACTGATGTTAGAGAAATTGATGCCTATGGACAAGGCAGACAGACTAACATAGCAGTTTGAGCACGTCTGAAAGATGTAACTCCTCATATCTACTTTTTGACCCTGCTTCACCCATGATTACCCAGCAACCTGATAAAACTTTTAAATTGCGCTTCAACATCCCCTTCTGTAGAACGGGGTTGCTTTTGAAGGTCTTTGCACCTGAAGCATTAACTTGCACGAGAAACTTGCTTAATTAATGCTTTGCCAAAAGCTCATATACAAATCTCTCTTCGCTTTTCAGCAGTCACGTAGCTACTGAATTCTGCAGTGTTCTTGTTTCACTAACATAACATGAAGGATTGTGAAATGTACACAGTTTTCAATATACTATTTTATTATGCTATTTTCCCTGATTGTTAGCACACAAAATAAGCAAACAATCCTCAAATAAGGTCACCACTTGCTTTTTCTAATATCAACTTGTAGACTAGCATTTGACATCAGCTGACTAGAAGAGAAAAAAAAAGAAAAAAGAAAATACTCTAAGTAATGGATCACTCATTTGTTTTCTTGGACATTTGTGAAGAACTCTGAATTTCAATGACTGCTACCTAACAGACAAACCAATGTGATTCTTCTATCTAAATCACACATTAGTTACATAGCACAAAATATGGAAAACAAACAAACAAAAAAAGAATATAAAGGGTTCTCATCTACCCCATTTAGCTTGAACTGACATGAAAATTAGAATAATTTTAAAATATGTTCCAACAGGACTCTTGTAACTGGTATGTTTTCCTGCTCGAAACTACGAGTATTCTAAAAATCCATCACTTCAGGAAACAGGAATTATTAATGGATTATGTGGAGAGACCTAAACAGGATGGAAGATGGGACCAACAAGAATCGCACAAGGTTTAACAGCCATGCTGCACCCAGGACAGCACAGGTGGGGACAGCCTCACCCTCTGCTGAGAAGGCCTTGGGGGTCCTGGTGAGCAGTGAGCTACAAGTGAGCTAGCAGCATATGCAATGCATTCAGTTAATTCCTAAAACATCACCAGACATAAGCAAATGGATGTGAGTTTCATGTCGTAGAATTACGTACATTTTGACTCACCAGATTATGGAAGAAAATAAAAGTGATCTGATCTTATATATTTCTCAAGTAAGTGTAATGAGTCTCACAAGGTTTCTGTCAAATACAGGCTCTTTTTCTGTCTTATACAGACATGGCTGAAAGCTATTATCTATCCATAGCTTTATTCTTAAAACATACTCTGGTTGACTCTTTTAGACTTGAAATGCTTTTGGATTGGTAAGCAGGTCACAGGCTGCTTCAACACAAATATTGACAAAGGACTGAACAGAAGATGAAGAATCCAATCATAGACAGACACCTGAAGAGCAGTTGAGGAGTTAATCGCTGGTATTATTGTGAATGCAAGAGAAAAAGTAATTTCTAAAGACAGCAAGAGATAAGCATTTTCTTTTTCTTTCAAGATTTTTATTATGATTATTCCCTTGGATGATCTTAGCACAGTGAGTCAAAACTGAGATATTGCTTTTGTTTTATATGAATATAAAATGGTTTTGTGCACAGATTTTTTTGAGGAACTATTAGAAATATTCTATTTTAGTTCCATAAGGTCTTGGCACGGGGGAAGGCATTTAGAAAATGGATGAAAAGTAACTCTGCTTTTCAACAATTCTACATGCAGCAAGTGATACTCATCTGATTTCAAAACGACACAAGCTTCAAAGACAAGACTACTTCCTCCTGTTAAGCCTTCCGTATATTTTCATTGTACTTAGAAATGTAGAACCCCTAAAAATACGTACGTTGATATTAAGCACTTCACCAAAATGAGTCATGAAATAAAGCAGTTAAAATATTAATGAATAACCAACAAGAGCCTTTTAGTATATATGGAATTTTTAATATTCTACTTGACAAACTCAAGCATCTTCACTCCTGAGAACATTTACTAGATGATCCTTATTAGTCTTAGATCAACTTTTACATATACTTAACAAAATGGAAGTTAGGCATTTTGTCATCCTTTAATTCAGAAGGAAAGTTAATCTGGTTTAGACTTGAAAGTTTGAACTAGAAGCACTCTCTCTTAGTTGGAAACAAATAAATATAGCTAAGAGTAACTTCTTTCAGCAGTGATTTTACCTTATTTTTTTCCTGACTTTACACTGAAAAAGACTTAAAATTATCACTTGGGCAGTTAAAGGTATGAACTGTTTTTAAGCAACTACTGTATTTCAGTAGTTAGGTGCTGCCTCTTAAAAGACAACAGCACACTAACCATGACCGAATGCATTACCTATCAATTAAGTCTTCCCATTTGAAAAGAAAGAATATACAAAAACTTCAAAGTCAATGCTTGACATGGAGGAAAATCATTAGTGTGTAATCAAGTTCGGTATTATGTACTCCTGATCCCAAACAAAAGCGGAGGAGTCCATTAACTTTACATAACTTCATTTTTCAAAGAATCATAATGTATTAGAAACCCGATTCAAAAGGAAGGTAGGATTAGTTCCCATACCAACAGAATGCATTACAACCATATATTGCAAAACAGCATTTCATCATCTAATGCGTGTATAAAACCAGTCTTACGCTACCATTTATAGCAATCAATATTAATACCTTTGTTTCAGGCCAGCAAACTCTGAGAACAGCTTGCGTCCTGAAGTACACAAGTAGCTTGCTATCCTCATCACTGAGATGGAAGGCTTGCTCCAGAATTTGCAATACTCTGATGCGAGGCTTCACTGCTAAAGAGTCATCACTACAGAAAGGTCTCAACCACTCCAGAAGGTCATCTGAAGAAACTATTTTCTCCCTGTAATTAAACAATACTGTGTTAAATAGTCTAATGAAAGTACTACATGTATTTTCAAAGCTGTTAACAAGTACATTCAATACATAACAAATACATAACGCTGGAAATGGAAGAGCTCACCTCTGTGGGGCTGCAGAGAAACTAGCCCTCGGACATCAGGTTCCTAAAGCTAAGTGGTGTAAGAACTTTTTTTGCACTTCAAATAACCGTGTAATACCATAGAAATCCATCTAAACAGTTACATATTCTCCCACATACTACCTTGACTGCCAATTGTATCGTAACGGTGCTGGATTTCAGCACCTGAAAATCCAAGCCTTTTTATGGTGTCTGGTCCTGACTGATGCCTGTACTTCCACCCCATCTGACTTTATGGAAAACCAGCTTGGCTCCTTGCATTTTAAGTATGACATTTTTATATCTGATGTTTATTCATATTGTCCTATATTCTCTTTCTTTACAAATCCGTTCTTTATGCTCCAAATACACAAATTAGTTTCTCCTGATTGTAGCTTTAGCCATTTCTTATTTTTTTCTGTACCATCTCTAGCAAGCTTGACTATTGTACATTCTAGTATGATAATGATTACAGAATGCCCATAGCCCCCAGAAAGAAAAAAAAGAGACGTTAAAAAACCTGAGGTTTTGGGTTTTCCTGACTTGGCTAATTAGAAAAACTCTTAATTAAATCATTTGATTCAAAAAGTGTATTATATTGAATACATTCTAACTGTGTGAAAGCATTTACAGTACACAGATTACCACAAACTCAACCAACCAGCTAGCAGTTGCAGACAGAATAATCTGTTATACCCCTTAGAGGCTATAAACTAGCATGTAACAAATCAGTAAATGCTATTCTACTATCTTTCAGTAATATTTTAAACTAAAGCTAATTTTTTTTCCTTTAAAAAAAAAAAAAATCAAGAAAGCGGTTCCAGGTGGAGTGTGATTTATAACTAATGTTCCCTTATTTGTCTTAACAAGGCAGACAGGAAAATAATATCAGACAGAAAACACTAATTTAACCTGTCTTGCAGCTCTGAAATAATAAACATTGACAGCTTAGGTTTTCATATTACAAGGATTTCAATTTTACTTAGGCTTTATATTGTCTGAATTATGCTGTTAGCTCAGAACTTCAGCTAAATTAGACATGCCTCTGTCAAACAGCTGGCATTCAAACTGTAAATTAAAAGTTTGGTAATTAAGAGGACCTGCTGGAATATTTCAAGAGTTTTGTAGAGCTCACCCCTGATGTTTATATATGTTTTCCTGAGGGAAAGATTTATATTGTAAATTGATTAGCTGAGGTTTAGAGAGATAAATATGAACAAGTATTTAAATGAATGTAAACAACCTCCTGTAATCACAATGACTTTCACTCCAGCTTATTGTTTCAGCAGTTAAATGCTGATGAAGTATACAAATAAAAGATTCCAGAAAGTGCATCTCAGAATAAAATAGTACCGACTCTCCCATTCCACCTTATAATATTGCAAATGAGATTTACTCTAAGTTTTGACATCAATTCAGTCTACTTCAGTATCCAGTATTTAACTAATTTAATGTCAGTGGAGAAGCCTCCACACAATAGTGTAATGGGTTTTGTTGGCTATCAGAGAGTATGAGGTTTTATTATTATCATACATGAGTTCTTAGTTTGTACATCTGGAAAGAAAACTGTTCGATTTTTTTTCCTTGTCTTTACTAGAAATGCAATGGAAAATGTCAGTGAGACATACAGACCATTATGTGACCTGAAATAAAGACATCCCCAAAAGAGGAGAAAAAAATGTGGTGAAGCATTATACAGCATTTGTGAAATTGTTTCTGCACTATACCCTACAAATATTGACAAATTTAGATCCCTAAATTCAGGTATCTGAAAGTGAGTCATTATTATTTGTAATTTATCTACTAAACTGAAACAAAAGCAGTGAAGTACTCCTGGTAGATATACAATCTGCAGTAGTCACAGCAGAAAAAACATTTTCTCAAATCACCGTGATACATAGTTATCTGAATTTTCAGTTCAGTGACTTGCTTTCTTCCAAATGATCAAGTAAAGGCTTCTGTCAGGACTCAGATTTTGAACCTCATAAATGATAGCCTGTTCCAGAATAAAGTCTTAGAAAATTAAGTGCAAACCCATTATATATATATCCATGAAGAAAAATCATCCGTATTCAGAATCGTACCTTCAACGCTTTCATGAGAAGTGTCTTTCAAAGTCTTAACCAAAGAATCCATACAGTAAGTTCTTACCCTTTCTCAACACTTTTATGCACTGCAGACACGATGCCTTCTAGGATTCCAAGTGGATCTTTCACTGATGTAGATGAGCCACCATTTCCACTGTTAAGGGAAGACATAAAATTACCATAAAAATGGTCTTTAATATCGTACCTAATTCTATCCACCTGTAGGATTTACATGAATTGTTCAACAATAGAGCAATTTTCCACTTTTCCTGCTTAACTAGTACCTTTATTTTTATGTCAAAGTAATGCGAGGAGCAACAAGAAAGACGTGGGAAAGAGAAATACTAAAATACTTAAGTGAAATTTGACAGAAAAAGAATAGTTAAAATTTAGCACTTCTAACACAGATTAGGTCAGCAAAATATCCACATGTAATCTCATTACCTTAAAGATCTCATCAATATTGACTAAACAGGTTAAAGGTTACACATAAATGTCACCATCTTTTCTTTTCAAGTATCATCTTGCAGTATCACTATTGGTTTAAACAAACTTGACTATAACCTGATTCAAAAGAATCCTATCTGCTGATTCAGCAGACTTCTTTTCCCACCCCGTCCAAGATTCATTTTCGGTTGTATCAACCAGGTTGATGCTTACCAGAATCAACAAAATTAAAAAGGAGGGAACATGTGGTCAAGAACAGCATGTGGGAAAGGGGAGGATTAAGCCACCCATCAAATGACATCCACTATACATGTGTAGGAATAGAAAAAAGTTAATCATGCTGCCCATCAGTCATTCCAGTAATGCAATGAAAGTGGCATTTTCTGCTAAGATTTTCAGCAAAACAAACTTAAGATGTGACTTTGTGCTGAAAGAGGGAGGGATTTTGCACTGGTACTCCAATAAAGCACACAGTGTCTCTTCACGGAAACCACTGCAGTGGCAATGACACCTGGATGAACTAGAAAAAACAAGTTTTGCCTATCGTAAGAGTTTGTCAATGCTGCATTAAAGAAAAAGAAAGGCAAATAGTTCCAAAGTTAGTTTACTAAAGATTATTCAAAACCCCAGAGATAAAGTGCATCTTCTCGACAGTTCATCAGCATATCAAAGCTCTTCTGCTACTAAAAATGTCACCCTCTTCCTAGCTGATCTCTTAATAAAAATGAATACATGTCCAGACTACCCTGACTGTTCTGTCTAAAGCCAAAATACGCTGTATAGCTGATTGTAATGTGTAAAAGTAACTGCAATTTTTCACAATTTTTTGTCAAGATTTATGAGAGTGTTTATAATTTTGTCATTTATTACTTCAGAAAGATAAATATATTGCCTAAAAAATGATTATACTATATGGCATAGGGACCTGCATTTTTACAACCTTTAATGTCTTACTGCATTCAGAACTTTCATCTTTTCTATTTTTATCTTAATAGGTGACCAGCACTTCAGTGAACAACACTAGATTTAAAAACAACATGTGACTCCATTCAGAACAGATGCAAGATAATTTGTTGCATGATGTAATGCAACATTTATATACTCAGTTTACCTTAGTATACGCATTTTATATTGCTACACTGCACTCATAAATTCGAAGTAGGAGTAGAAAGCTCGTAACACTGGCCTTTTTCTCAAAAAATACTGTTACATATGACTATCAAAGAAATGCCATTTTTAATACCAATACTATCATATGGCAGCTAAATAAATTTTAGAAGAGTGAAGTTTAAATCTAGCTATTTTCCTAAACATCTTCAGAATATTTGAAAACTATCAAATTATAATATATAGTACAGAAATATCCAGAGAGATAATGTCTGTCCAAAAGATAAAAATCTATTTTCACCAAAACACACATAAAAAATTTCAGGGGGGGGGGGGGGTGGGAGAAAGTGTATTTTTCACAGAAAAGGAGACAACAGGACTGAATGGTCTGTTAGGAAAAAAAAAAAGATTAAATTTAGATTACACCAGTACTGCAGAAGTGTGGAAATGGTAAAAAGAGCAGCAGTATTAAAGTAATCATTTTACGCAAGCAGCTACATGCATTAGGAGATGATTTCAAATTTGTTTTAAAATAAAAAAGCTAAGAAAATTTAAGATATGTTCCCAGAATGAAGACAGATATAAGGCACTTAATTAATGTTCTGTTTACAGGCCAGATCTAAATTTTCCTGTATTATTATGCTTTCTGTGTTTTTTCAATTAAGTTAGTAATAAAAAGACATCAAAGGGCATTAACATGGCATATCTAAAGAAAACTAGAAGAACACTTATAAAGCTTACAGACTAAAGAAGAGAATGATGATTGTCTGAAATAGAAAAGAATAGGACATGGACTACAGAAATGGAGATCTTACTGGCTCTACTTACCCTGAATTATCTTTAGTGTACATAAGCAACTTTATATCAAAGGAGAATGACCAGCAAACCTTAGATTTTGGGTAGCCTCAATTTTGGAGACTGGTTCTGAACAGTTCTAGCACTTGCTCTTCAAAACCCCTTCATCTCTCTAATTAGAAATGAAAGTCTTTAGCTCCTATTACAACCAGGCTCTGAGCACCTCAAAAAAAACAAACTCGGGTCAAAAGAAACATATACCCAAAAGTTAATGGGCATTTCTGAAAACAGAAAACCACTGTTTCAGACAGTAAGTCTGTGAAGCCAGTTCTCAAGCACAATAGATGTATGAACATTTACAGAAAGCTTCGAGTTTGTCCTACACAGACAGGTACTATTCTACTAAGCAGGAGGAAAGGAGAAAAAAGGTGAATCTAAGCAGTTAAGTTAAAGTTAGCTAGAATAAGAAAGTATTTTAAAAAGAAATCTAGAAAGACTGAAAGCTAGCATTTTTTTTAAGCTTAATATTGCCTTTACTGCCTAATGGTTAGAGAAACTAAAAAGAAATTACAGCTCATGAGCCAAATAATCGTGTCAAGTTTCCACAGATTGTTGCCTTGTTCTTTTCTTAATAATTAATGATTAAAAATAAGCAGCTACTAACAGAAACAAATATAATTAATCAAGGATTAGTCTTCCGCACAGATTATATGCTATTTTATGCATGTTTTAAACAACAGAACAGGATTCAATGTTCACCTCAAAACTCCTACGTATGAGCCTGGTGTAATTACACTGATAAAGGCTTATTTTTATTTCAGTTCAGCTTCAGAAAAAGTGATGCATATTTAACCAAGTTTCTCAAACACAATAAAGTACAAAGAATGCTTGACAGGAGAATAAATTAACTTCATCTAAATCTTTTAACCTAATTATGGTATTCATTGAAAATACTTGATATCATCTTATTTCTCCAGCCTTATTTTCCCCTTTCTGTTTGTGCTTCCTCTAAATATCAGGAAAATAAGAAATAATATATTGTTGGTGTGATCATTCAAAGCTGGGGAAAAAAGTCATAATGCCAAACCATTGTTTCCATCAGAAATACCATGAAATTATGATATCCAAGTTACAAAATTACTCTGTATGACCCCTGCTCAAGTGAGATGAGACAGTAAAAAATCTGGTTTTGTTTTGTTTTGTTTTTTCCTTCTAAGTTAGCTACTCAGTCTAATGAAGCTGCTTTTACTTTCTTCATGAAACACTGGCCATTAAACAAGAAGTCAAAATTTCACCAAACCTTTCCTGCTCATTGCCTGCTGAATACTTCCAAAATTTCATGAAATGCTGCATCCATCTGGACACCTAAGATAAGAGCTGCAAATGAAGGAGGCCATAACGTCTTCAACAGACAAACTGTCTTCCCTGGCTAACCATCCACGAACATGCCTACAGTCATGCGTCACGGAAACTCTCCCGTATATCATGTGAGTGATCTTAGGTAATGGTTTAAACTGAATCTTGGATAAATCTAACCAGACTACCAGCATTACCAAAATCTTTTAGGTTTTTTTCAGAAGTTCATAATTTCTACTGAAGATGCAACTGTTTTTTATTTATAGTAGCTGTTTCCATATAAAGTCGTATAAAGTATGCGAACGTGCTCTGCTGGAGAGATTTTATACATACCAATGTAAGAGTTTCTACTTTGAGTTTTGTGTGCCAGAACTAAAGAGTCAAGGGAGATAAAAGTAGTTAACAGAACTGGACAATACTGCTCTTGAAATTACAATATAGGTACCCAATATTAGGGTACAAATAACTGTATGTTATATTTAACAAGAATTCTGTTTCTCAGAAGGTGTAAGAGTTTTTAAGCCTGTGATATTGTATGCTGTTGAAAAATGAAGCCAAAAAGTCACTTAATTAATCTTTAATAAAAGCAATACTTCCTAGAAGGTTCTTCTGCAATAGTCAGTAAATATACTAATAACAAAAGATATTTTACTGTGTTTGAAGGGGGGTTGTAGTTATGAAACTGAAAGAAAGGATGCATATTTTCAATCACAGAAGTGGTGGATTGATGCTTAACTTTCAGGTAAATCACTGACACTACCATAATTTTGCACATCCATACAGACTTGTTTCACTTATGGTTACAATACCTTAATTACGTTCCGTGTCACCATAGATACAGAAAATCCAAGCTCAGTGTTATAACCTTACAACTGCTACTTTGAAGGTTAATTGTCAAAGAAGGAATTTTCCAACATGATCTCTTTCAAAACTATTGTATAAAATAACCACACTGTATAACACAAAGCTCCAATAAATAAACCTGAAGAGTTTTCCCTTGAAATGTTACATTTATTGAATAGTAGTTTGTCATTCCAGGTACACAGGCAAGACTACTTCTTTAGTTGTAGTTTTTGCCCATTGTCGTGGTTCAAGCGTGAAATGCAAGTATTGCACCTTAACAGAGGGTGTTAACAAGTGGCAAGCTGAGCATCAAACAAAATCAAGGAAAAGCACCTTATTTCACTGAAAGGCTTTTCAAATAGTGCGCTTAGCTTTCCCTCACCTGTGTCCACATCCTCACCATGTCTGTAAACTTGTCCATAAGCAGGTATTTTTAACAGTTCTATATTCCCAGAGATGACTACATTCTCCCAAATGCCAGACAAACTAAAACAGTTTCAGCCTCAGACTTGTGAAGAAAAGCCATGTCCCTTCTGGGCTATAAGACATGAAGTAGAGAGGCTGCAGCTAACCAAACAGGCAGGACTTCAATGCAGGACGCTTCTCTCCTCCCTTGCCCAAGACATGACTAGTACTGAGGAAATGCACCATGACTACAGTAGTTTTAGGCTGTTTCTCACAAGTGTTAGAACTGTAATTTGGAAGCAAGACTATAAAGAATATATTCAATTAAAAGAGCATCATACTGAAGTTAATGCAAACTTTAAACTCACTGTTAACAAGAGTAAGATGGTCAGCATCAACTGTATTTCATGTTCCTTTGTATCACCCAGGTCTTGCCCAGATCTCAACAGAATTATCCGGGGATGTGTAAGTATAAACTGTGTGGAAGCTAGTTATTTTGCATTTTCTGTTCTCCTAGCCTATTTCTCCATAATTTTAAAATAAGAGATGTTACCCCCAGTTTGCTGGGGTTGCATGAACAGGTTGGTTGTTTGGTTTGTGTCATGACATGGAAGAGAATTGCTGAGGTTTGGGGCAGCAAATCCTAGAAAAAGATGGAGATGAAGCCTTGCTTCTGGTACAGTGTGTGGGACTGCTCACAGTACGATGGCACTAATAACAGCAAGAAACAGTAACAATGACAACACTGAAAAAGTTGAGCAAAACAACCCCCTTCCTCACATTAGAGACCTGTTTCTCTCAAGAAGTTAGCAGGTCAGAGGTTTTTCTAGGGTATTATTGTTGCTTTTAAGTGCTGCAGGAAGCATAAAGCACTTGCACTTGCTGTTTAATTTGGAGGTAGGGTGTGACACAAAGGGAGATGGAAGAAGAGGAGCAAAAACTCTAAGAAGCATTGTTTACAAGAACAAAGAAGAAAAATGTATAGCCTATATTTTAATGACAAACACATTTTTCAAAACCTTGCAAATAAAAAAAAAAAAAAACAAACCAAACCAACCCAAAAAACAGCTCCCAGAAATACCCCATCAAGTTATTCCAAAGATGGAAACTGTACTTCTTCCTGTAGGACTAGCTGTTGTGGCAACAGCCATTGCTAGGCCTCTACTGCCCAAATACCCTGCACAAGCTCTTTTTGTACCCACCATTTCCAACAAACATGCCTTTTGACTCTGTTTAAGTGGGAAGAACTATGTGCAATTGTAAATTTGCCAAAAATTCACAAGTGCACACACACATAAAGGAACAATATTGTAAATACAAGTTTTTTAACTGAAACACACCCTCCAGCGAATAGAATGAGTTCTGTGGCTTGCTTTGTTCAGATTGCCCAGGCTTCCCAAACTCAGAAAAATGTAACTGTCTTATCTGAATATGAAATTATAGGTAAACAGGAGCATAAACAATCCAAGAACTCATTTCCTGTTACTGCTCGATTTTCTGCAAAATACAGATGTTGAAAGCAAACAAGTACTCTCTACAAAAAAAACAATCAAACAAAAAACCCAACACAAAACAACCAACAAACAAAAAAACCAAAACCCAAAAACCCAGAAGGTTTTTGGGCTTAATTGTGGCAGTGTACTTACCTTAACGTACATACAATTTTTTTAATGGCATGTTGGACAATATCCTTGGGAGAAAGACCTAGATCTCCAACGGCCACCTGTAACAACTGTTGTATCATGTCCAGGGGTTGACCATCTATACACATAGCTACTGCTTGTTCATGGATTTTTTCTTTCTCTCACCTTGACAAATCATATAAATAGCCATACTTCTGTAGTGTATCCTGTGAACAGATAATTTTTGAACACAAATCAGTGTACTCTTTATTTACAGGGATGTATCATTCAGAGTCTTTCTTTCTACCAAGATATAACATATAGTACGAAAAAGAAAAGATCGATGGAAGTGAATTTTCAAAAACCAGGTCAACAAAAACAAAGGTACAAAACATTAATAAAATATGACAGAAGACTGATGTCCATCACTGCTAGTCATGGTAACACTCAAAAGAAGCATCTGATCAGTAATCATTACCTGTTTGCTGTTTTTCAAGGAAGTGATAAAACTATGAGTGAGTGTTTCCAGATGAGCAAGAGATTGCTGCAAGTGTTTCAGAGTTTCTTCATAAGCAACAGATGGATTTTCAGCATCTTCCATGTCATTCTCAGAAGTCTTTTTTCGTGATTTCTCAGAAAGATGTTTGACTGCCTTAGTAGCCTTCTTAGTCACTTCTATCCTGGCTTCAACTGGCAGCTGAAAAAGATTACTCGATATTTAATCATTCACCATCTGTACACTACTATTTGTATTACAGCAGTGCCTAGAGGTCAGGTGGCTCCACTGTTGTACAGCACAGCAAAAAACTAAATGAAGTATTTTATGAGAAACAGTTTTATTTCTTATTAGTAATTTATTTAAAAAGGATCAGTATTCTATTACTTTCTTCTGTTGTCCTTCCTTTTATTGATGTTGAATCTGGCTCATTTTAAACCATATGAAACTTCTTTTCCCTAATAATAATTGATTTTTGTAGACTACCACCTTATAAACTTTGTTTTTTAATTCTGCATTGAGAGATGTCTGGGGATCGTTTTACAAGATTAACTGAAAATCCCAAATGCTGAAAAGGTTAGTTTTGTCAGGTTTACATCACTGTTTAAAACATATCCCTAAGACCATAATCGTAAGCAAAAAAACAGTAGGAAGTCTACAACTTTTAAATCAATCTCTTTAAAGCACAAGTTATACAAAACCGCAAGTTACTATTTTGAAAGACCTGTACAACTAGATGTATCTAGCCATTAAACTGAAACAAAGAAGTCTGGGTTTTTTTTTCCCATTACACTTCTCATAGAGTTTGAATTTTTAAAGAGAGTCATACATACACCGAATGAAGCTTTCCCCTACCCCTCCATCTTGCATGAAAGGGTCATTCCAGTACATCAGAATGGAATTTAGGACTTCAGAACAGAGCCTGGGCAGCAATGACAGATTCTCAAGCTTCCAGAAACCAAGAGTATGTTGGAAAAAGATATGGATGGAAATACTCTTTATACACAGTACTTGCAGCAAACTGTTGTGCTTATAAGTCAGGAAAGACACAGCTTCAGCTATAAATCCAAAACAAATTCTGAAATATTATTTTTAAAACTCATGTATAATTTATTAGTTTGCAACTTCAAGTACAGTTTTTAGGATGCTTGCAATACACGTTCCAACGCGTGGGGCTCTCCTCTGCCTAAACCCACAGCATTAGGTACTTCTAACCTCAGGTGTTTTAGTTACCAGAATACTGGACAAAGACATACAAATAATTTTAATTTTCAAGTTGAAACACAGAGGAAATAGAAAAAAAAGCTTGAAACCGTGTGACACATTGAATAGGAAAGAGTCTAAATTACTGCAGAAAGAGGAAAATTAAACTGCTATAGCATTCTTCATAAGAAAGCCAAATTGATGTTTACATCATGAATTAAAGTATCTACTTGTAAAGACACAGAAAGCTTGATAAGAATTAGTTAGTGGAAAGTTTTACAGCTTATATATTTAAATTATCCCCACCAAAAAAAGCCCCACAGAGTGAAAGATGTAGGGGTTACTCCTGTTTTTTAGTGCTGTTGCTGAAAACCACAGTAATGGTCTAATGGACAATTTTAATACTAAAAGCAAAATGGGTGGACATTATTGTAAAAGCTAAGAAAACTTGCCAGCATTAACAGGGTAAATAAAAAGGGTATTTTACCATTCAGTTCCAAACTCGACTCAGTTCCATTCCCACCAAAAGAAATTAAGTATGATTTTGTTACTTTGAACAAGGTCTCAATATCAGGTTTTACTATAAGCAGGGAAAAGATGATACACTTCATATCACATTAAAATTTAATGACCACAGATGGATTTATATATCCATTTTGTAAACCTGATAAAAGATGAAAACAGCTACATATTTCATTTTTCCTTTCTACTGTACATTCTAATGTTCAAAATGCAATTGAGAGACACAAAAGGCAAACAATTTAAGTATTTCATCTAACTGTTATATCCTAGAGAACAGTGTGAATATACTGCCAGTTTAGAAGTCATGATGCCATAAACATATACAGAATAGAGCATTAAAAAAAAAAAAAAAGAATACAGGTTCTTCCCAAGACTATTTTAATTTTGGGATTCATATTTGCATAGTGTCAAAATGCAGCACTACCAACATATCATTTCTCTGATTATTTTATTCCAAAACATGAATGGCTATCCTCCGTATTTCTAGTCAGCTTCAGTAATGAGATTTGGTATCATACCCAGTGATAAAAATAGTAGCTTAGGGGCTAGTTCAATCTTTGTTTGCATGTGAAGTAAAATTTTCTTTTTAAAAAGCTTTTACAGTTTAAAAAGATTTTTAATTCTATAGGCTATGTGTAATGAAAAATCCTAAAAATCCGTTTTCTTTCATTTTCAAATCAAGGAACATCACATACAAATTCAGCTCAACAGATTTCACTCCTCAGGGTAAAAAACTCATCTCAGAAGCCCATTTCCTTCAGAATATGTAAGTATTTCTTAATGAAGCCTAGTGGATGAGGGAAGGCTGTGGATGTGGTCTGCCTGGACTTCAGCAAGGCCTTTGACACTGTCTCCCACAGCATTCTCCTCGAGAAGCTGGCGGCTCACGGCTTAGACAGGTGGACTCTGCGCTGGGTCAAAAACTGGCTAGACGGCCGGGCCCAGAGAGTTGTGGTGAATGGAGTTACATCCAGTTGGCAGCCGGTCACGAGCGGTGTTCCCCAGGGCTCAGTACTGGGGCCAGTCTTGTTTAATATCTTTATTGATGATCTGGATGAGGGGATTGAGTGCACCCTCAGTATGTTTGCAGACGACACCAAGTTGGGCGGGAGTGTTGATCTGCTCGAGGGTAGGAAGGCTCTGCAGAGGGACCTGGACAGGCTGGATCGATGGGCCCAGGCCAACTGTATGAGGTTCAACAAGGCCAAGTGCCGGGTCCTGCACTTCGGCCACAACAACCCCATGCAGCGCTACAGGCTTGGGGAAGAGTGGCTGGAAAGCTGCCCAGCAGAGAAGGACCTGGGGGTGTTGGTCGACAGCCGGCTGAACATGAGCCGGCAGTGTGCCCAGGCGGCCAAGAAGGCCAATGGCATCCTGGCCTGTATCAGAAATAGTGTGGCCAGCAGGAGTAGGGAAGTGATCGTGCCCCTGTCCTCGGCCCTGGTGAGGCCGCACCTCGAATACTGTGTTCAGTTTTGGGCCCCTCACTACAAGAAGCACGTTGAGGTGCTGGAGCGTGTCCAGAGAAGGGCAACGAGGCTGGTGAGGGGTCTGGAGAACAAGTCTTCTGAGGAGCGGCTGAGGGAACTGGGACTGTTTAGCCTGGAGAAAAGGAGGCTGAGGGGAGACCTCATCGCTCTCTACAACTACCTGCAAGGAGGTTGTAGCGAGGTGGGTGTTGGTCTTTTCTCCGAAGTAACAAGTGATAGGACGAGAGGAAATGGCCTCAAGTTGCGCCAGGGGAGGTTTAGATTGGATGTGAGGAAAAATGTCTTTCCTGAAAGAGTGGTTAAACATTGGAACAGGCTGCCCAGGGAAGTGGGTGAGTCCCCATCCCTGGGGGGATTTAAAAGACGTGTAGATGAGGCGCTTAGGGACATGGTTTAGTGGGCATGGTGGTGTTGGGTTGACGGTTGGACTCGATGATCTTAGAGGTCTTTTCCAACCTCAATGATTCTATGATTCTATGATTCTAAGTATTGCACAAGTAACATTCACTTGCACATGAAGATGATGACCCTGCCATTCTTATTGCCAATGATTAGCATGCAACTTTGAGATGATGGAAACAACTCCCCTCCTTTTAAAGCCAGAGGAACTTGGGATCCCAGCATCATCGAAACACAGAATGGTTGAGGTTGGAAGGCACCGCTGGAGGGCATCTGGTCCAAACCTCCTGCTCAAGCAGGGCCACCTAGAGCCAGTTGCGTAGGACTGTGTCCAGGTGGCTTTTGAATATCTCCAATGTGGGAGACGCTACAACCTCTCTGCGCAACCTGTGCCAGTTATCAGTCACCAAGTGTCATGTAGCTACAAGCCAACCAGATATACTAGAATGGAAAGCAAATTACATTTGTTAATTCAGAAGTAGGTTAAACAGTTACAGAACAATAAAAGCTGGTTCCCAATTCCTACGGGGGGAGAGAAAAAGAAGAGAAAAAGCAAGAGAATTTGTGGACCAAGATAAAGATAGTTTAATACATGAAGGAGAGGGGGAAAAAAAAAATTAACAAACCAAAACTAAGTGATGCAAATGCAATGACTCACCACCTCCCACAAGCAGACCAATGCCCAGACAATTTCCAAGCAACAACCATTTCTGAAGACACCCTCCAACCCCCTGCTTGTTACTGCTGAGCATGACATTATATAGCACAGAACGCCCCTTTGGCCAGCCCAGGCCAGCTGTCCTGGCTGTGTCCCCTCCTCACTTTTTGGCTACCTGCAGCCTACTCAGGGCTGGGTTGTTGAGAAAAAGAGAAAGCCTTGACACTGTGCAAGCAGTGCTCAACCACAGCCAAAACACTGGTGTGTTATCAACACTGTTTTAGTCACAGATCCAAAGCACAGCCCCATAGGGGATGCTATGAAGAAAGTTAAATCCATCCCTGCCAGACCCAGTACAGTTCGTCTGGAGATCAGTGTAAAAGTTCTAATGCATGTAAGGAACCAGTTAAAGAAAAGACATTATTTGTGAAGTTTCCTATTATGCAGTCTTGAAGCAGATTTAATTAAAATAACTGTATTAATGGCAGGACACAAGAAAGTATCTAAAAATGTACTGATATCAGAAAAAGACGTACTGTCGATACCCATGAAGAAAACACGGTCATACAAGACAAACCACTGAACTGGAGCACAGTGATAAAAAGTGATAAAAAGAAGCCAAGTAATTCAAAAGGTAACATCGGAATGCAGTCATAGAATCATAGAATCATTAAGGTTGGAAAAGACCTCTAAGATCATCGAGTCCAACCATAAACCCAACACCACCATGCCCACTAAACCATGTCCCTAAGCACCGCATCTACACGTCTTTTAAATACCTCCAGGGATGGGG